CCTTGAAATATAAAATTTTTTGTGTTTTTAGAGTTTTGTTCACTGCCAAATCTGTAGGTTTCTTACTGGCTCAGCTTCTTTAAGAAGTTATTTATTTGCAAATAAATAGGCATAATAATGATTAATATAATGGCCAAAGAAGTTTTTTAAGTGTAGACAGAAAACTTCATCCCTCAAGGCTTTGTCACTGCGTCTTGAACGTGGAAGCCCGGAGTGGTTTCCCAGCCTCCCTTCCAGAGCAGCTTCTCAGCAGCATCCATAATTCATGACATTAAGTATTAATTTTGGCTTTCATGCTCCAAGGGTGTGGCACGTTAGTCACCAGCACATTATCCACAGGTTTTTGTTCTTCCTGCTCCACCTCACACTTTCTGGGAGATGCTGGATGTTTGTGTTCCTGGGGAGACATCAGGTGGAGCAGAGATGGATGAGGTTGTCCTCACAGCTTTATTGCTTCTCTCAGATCGGCTGCTGTGATTTACAGACAAACTCTGATGTGGAACTGCTCACATTTACCAGCAGGGCACAGAGAGTCCCAGTGCTGTGTCCTGCAGCTCTTGCCTTTGCTCCTTAGAGCTATGCCCTTTTCTCTATTAATATACCACATTACAGGTCAAAGATGTATTTTGATCACTCTAAACCCTCATATATATTGTTCTTATTTCATTGCCTCTGTAGTTAAATATTTTGTTTTTAAGATCCTTTTCCCCAGAAGCATTTTTGTGACCATCACTTTTGCTAAAGGAAAAGGAGTTGTCTGGGTGCTAATTCACCAAAGCAACATGCAGAAAATAAACCCAACCAAAACATTATTTTGCAAGGTCACCTGGCAGATAATTTCCTCTCCCTGGTCTCCACGCAGTTGACAGAACAAGGGTTTGAATCCAGGAAAAGATGCAGCCCCTCCCTTTGCCAGCCACAATTCCTGTTTTGCAGAGTGCTATGGAAAGGTGCTGCTTTGGAGAGCTGATGTAAATTTGTGAAAACATTTCTGTCATGTGCTCACCAGGCATTTCTGGTTATGCACTTGATCCATCATGGTGATATATCTGATACCGGGCATAAGATTCCCACTTTGAAAAAAGAATATTGAGTTGACCAAATTGAGAACTATATAAGGCAAATCCAAACTTCCTCAAACCATATGCTGATGGCATTTTCAGCATGTCCAGAAAATGCATTAACAGCAATGGGAAGCAGAACTCTTTGGCCAAAATTATCTTAATTAAACCAAAAGGCAATATCAGGTCATCTAGCTATTTTATAGATTTGTCCCAAATTGCATAAACCAGTGTGGTAAAAATAGAAATTCCTTCTTTACCACCACTGCTCTTGTTTACTTTGTATCTTCTTTTTGACATACATAATATTCAACCCAAATATAACAAAATTATAGCGTGTGTCAAGTCCAAAGACCAGAGGAGAATGTTTTACATTAGCCTCAGGTGGACATTTTTCTGTATTTTCCTTTTAGATCATAAATAAGCTGAGTACACACTTTCCCCCATTTTAGAGGGATTGTTATTGTTTAAATTAGAGTGCTATGGATCAGAAGTTCAGTGTGTTGAAAGTTATATAAACATTGAACCACAAGCTGATCTCTTCCCCAAAGAACTTACCAATTACTGTTGCAGTGGAAGTGTTGAATGATTCATGTTTCAGATTTGAGTTTAGTAGCCTGCTATATTCAGTGTTACATTTTAAACTCATTTCTCTGGGTGGGGAAATGCATTTTTGCTGAGGGCAGTCAGCACCTTGAGATCTTTAATTTCCATAGATAGCAGACAAATGTTGCTTGAAAATGCTGTCAGAAAGAGGTCTAACTCTAAACTAAACATCTGCTGGATTTGTATAGCAGTGCTTGCAACTGGTTCTTTGTGTTCATGGGAAAGAACAACTCTGACATAATAAAGACATTTCAGTATTTTTTTGTCTGGCAGTGCTTCCTTTTTGTGGGTAAGAAATGCTGGTGGATTTATATACTCATGCAACTAACTTCATACTTAATGTGTCTTATCTTAGAGGCTGACCTTCTGTGAAAGTAGCTATTAAAATAATGCTGTCACTGAAACGGTCAGCAGAAATGTCGTTAATTATAGATCCCATTTTAGACCTCATTTAATTTATTATTTGGTAGTTATTTATTTTTGCCTTTGGCTAGAAGAGTGTGAATTAATTCTCTCATTCTGCATTGTGTACTGGCCTCTTAATAGCACAGAAACCTTAAATACTAAAACGTTTTTTAAGTGTGTGTGAAAACTAATTAATTTACTTTCTTTTTACTTGTCCAGAAGCAGCTTGTGGTTTTTCCATTTTTTTTTCTTTTTTCTTTTTCTATTTTTTAAAAATTTATTTATTTATTTATAATTAACAGCTGTAGAAATATTTCAGACATACAGCTTTTTAACTGATATCTGCAATCCCAAATTTCTGGATATTAATGATTCCTTTTTTGTTTTCAAAGAAACCAGCCACTTACCCATGCAACTTCAGTGTGTTTGAGGTGCTGCAGAATTATCAGAATTAGCAGCCCTCTGCAGCAAACACTTTGTGTTTATTTATACAGGTTTATTTTTTTAACATCTGTAGGATCATGACTGGCCTTTAAACTGATGTTTTTTGAAATGAGTGGAACACTGGAAAAGTCAGAGGGATCGATCTGCTGGAACCTCTTTGATTTCCATGCTGGGTTTTCTAGGTGTAAGGAGGTGTTTACAACTGAAATAAATTAAAATCTTGGGTTGCCTGTGCTCGCCTCCTGCAGCTCTCAAGTGGAATAGTTAATTTACCTTGGGAAATGCTGGATATATTTGGTCCTCTGTCCCAGAAAATTTGCTATTACTTTTGTATTGCTCAGCACAAGTTTCAAGGTACTTCTTGTTCTCTCCTTTATTGCTTCTTGTAAGATTTCATCTTTAAGCCTGGAAAAAGGTTTAGAGTGGAGCTGTGATAGAAACAGGTTGGGCAGAGCTTGTGGAAAGAGGCATGTGAGCCTCTGGCAAGCTGGTATGCTCAAACTTCTCTATTTTCTCTTTAAATTACAGAGGGAATTATATTTATTTGGGTTTTGGGGACAGCTGGCTTTAAAATAGTTGCAAATTTGTCCGAGTGCCTGAAGGAGAGGCGAGAGTGAGGAATGTACAACTTGATCAGCCAAAAGCAGAGCTCAGCTCTTCAGGTGCTGGGCTTCAGGTGGCTTTTCAATTCATCTTCCCATTCCTTCTCTTTCTCTCCCTCACTCTCTGCTCCTCTTAAACCTCCTTTCTTTTGATGCCTGAACATTTTGTCAGTGCTTGTGACCTCTTTGTGCTGCTCTGATGACTCCACCACTGAGCCCCTTTCTGCTTCCCAAGCATCGCTCTGCATGTGCCCATGTCCATTTATTCTCCTGGAAGTTCTCAGTGGGGTTTGTCTGTAATAGCTCAAGAAACTCACACAATGGAGCCCTGTTTCTGGCTTGGATATTTTGAACATATGAAAAGACCCTTTTTCACACATTTTCACTGTGGATGTCTCATAAGAAAATAAATTTGCTGGACATAGAGCAATCCTGCTTTGACTCCTACAAATCCACTGGTGGCAATCAAGGATCAGGGAGAACAGGGCTTTTGGAGGATGGCTTATATTCCAATGCCTTTTTGTGCTCTAAATATAAAGGGGAAACTAGTTTTAGTATTGTATATAAGGATTTCCTAAAGATAAATACAATTAGTAAAAGAGTGGCTTAAATTAGAGTTCATGTCTTGGTTTTCCTTTTAATGGGTTTGGTTCATGTTCATTGAGTGATTAAATGAGGATTAATGAGCCCTGGAAAATATGTTAATTTACCCAACAGAATGGAATTACCTTATGATGAAACTATAATAAAAAGTGTTTATGGGCTGTAAACAATATGTTCTAATCTGTATCATCAATCCTGTCTCAGGGATCTGTAACATGTGCTTTTGAGGGAAAAACAGTCGATAAACGTTCAAAACAACCAGATTAATTTTTTAATGTAAAAAAATCCATGGCCAGTGAAACCACTGTGACACCTCTCAGCAGTGATTTGGATTTTTTAATTGGGTAAAGTCTCACAAAGCTGAAAAAAGGGGAATTTCAGCCATTTTCTGAAACTTCAAATAGAAAAATATTCTATGAAGACATGTATGCAGAATGTGCCTGCCTGAACGAGAACAGTTTGAGCTCCAGAAATTTTTAAGTTTCCTCTGGAAATAAAAGGCCAAAAAAAGGAACAAAATTAAATAAATGTGCAAGGGGTAAATGCAGGTAATAAAAGCAATGCTTGCCTATGCTTGAATAAAAAGGGTCAAGATCAGGATTGAACTGCAGAAGTGTTCTGTAGCTGAAGCCTTTTAAGTGGTCCATCTGTGCACCTTTTACTGAGTAAAGGAGTAGTTTAAATTGTGTTTTATGCTAAATGTTTATTTCTTTCCACAGAACACAGAACTCTGCCTCAACCCTCCACTGAAACCAAACCCACAAACTCTTCTGTGTGAGGGAAACTGAAGTTGTGCCTCAGGGTTCTTTCAAGGCAGCTTTCAGTTAAAAAGGGGTTATACCTAATTTTTTTTGGCATAGATTTTTGGCATATAGACACGTGATTTCTTCTTTTTCCCTGAGATTTTGGAAAATGTAGCTGTATAATTTTTCACTAAACAAAATCTTGTGGTTGATCTAGCTCTTTCCTTGCAGCTCTTTGTGCTGTTTATAATATTTTATTTGCTTTGTGTGCGTTTTTGCTCCATGGGATATTAGACCAGTAGGATATAATCTTTGGCCTGTGTCCAGAAGATGATCAATGTTGAGGCTTCCAGTGCCTTGTCTGGCATTTTCTGAAGCTGGACATCCCTATGTTGTATCACTGTTGTCTGCTTTATACAGAGTAGCTAAGAAATAAACTGCTTTTTTGTCTTGCTGATTTAATGTGTGAAGTGTGATAGGGGTTCTTTTGCTGTTTCAAGCTGTTCATCCATTTATCCCCAGATGTGTGGTTCCTTCTGCTCTCCAAGACAGTGGAGTGACTGTGTCTGCTGCAACCCTGCTATCCTGAGCTCAGCCAGTGTTCCCAGGCCTTTCCTCTCCGCTGGGTACCGGGAGCCCCGGGTACCTGCTGTCCCCTCTCAGGTGTGGCTTTGCTGCAGAGCATTTCCCACCCCCACAATTTGTTGTGCTTTTATCACCCATTTTTTTGTTTATTTATTTTTATTTTTTTTTTGGATATGGATAGTGGATCCTGGAGGAGTGAACATCTTGGTTAATTTGCTGAGTGTGACACATTTGGATTAGGAAGACTTCCAATATAAGCCCATGTTTATGAAGAGTGATTTATTGCAACAATTTTTTTTTTTGCTGTTAACGCTACTGTTAAGCAATGGTGGTTTTCATTAGCAAATTGCTTTTTTTCAGCTTGAAAGCACCGTAATTAATTGGTGCTATAATTCTTTATATTGTTTGGGATTTCATTGCTGATTTTTTAATTACAGCGTGTCTCTTGGAGCAAAAAGTCTTCAGGAAGGCTTGTATGGAAAAAAAAAATCCTGTAGAAGCTGATATATTCATCTCTGCAATCAGTTATATTTGCTGGTTGTGATTTATGAGTGCTGCTGCCAGAACAGCTGCGGAAAAGTGTTCTGTAACGTAGTTCTTTTCTGTATTTGAGGGGCAAATAAAATCACTGCAGCTTTGTTGGTTTTGAATAACTTTGGTTTTTACTGTAATCCATGGAAATGTAAGGCCATATCAGCTTATTCTAAATCAAATTAAAAAGAACTTGTCAGCCAGTGTTTCTCACAGAAATGGCCACTCCAATGTGGACCAAAAATTTCTGTACTCTGTGGAAGTTTACTTGCTTTGAACTCAGCTTCTTCAGTTTAGAAGGGTTTTTCTTTCACTGTCTGTTAGGGCCCACTGAGTGGTACAGCCCTTGGGAAGTCTGAAGCAATTGTCAATTATCTCTAATAAATAAGGTTTAAACCAGAAAAACAATTCTGTTATGCAAAATGTCATTCCCAAAATTTAGCTACAGTAAAATGTTACTGCAGAAACCACAAATGAGAAGCAGAGTATTTTTTAACTATTTTTTTTTTAAAACCAAAAGTATATCAAGGTCAGTGGTTGCTTCCATGCTGAGCAGAAAATTGCCAAAACAGGACATGAGGACATATAAAATCTGCATAACTGAGTGTGATTAAATTGTCCTTTCTATCACCACACTTATTTCTGACAGCAGTATTTTTCATATTGGGGATATTACAGTGATTTAAAATTTCCTTATATTGCTATGTTATGGTCTCACTTCTGACACCAAAATAATGTTATGGTACACTGGAATAATATTAGGCTCCCACTTCTGAAATAAGGTCAGAGTGTAGGGGTAAAAGCAATAAATTGATTGTTTGATGATTGATTGTAGGCAAGTGGGTTTTTCAATTTTCAAAGCAGTCTTGCTAACTTCACTTTCCTGCCTGCAGTTTGGAAGAAAAAACTAATTTTACAAACATGAGCAAGTCTGAGATCCAGCCTGCTAAAGAACCAAATGGGATGTATTTGATGTGATGAAACTTTTGATGAAGTGCTCTGAAGAACAGGAGACTGTATCTTGAATTAAGGAAGTTTTCCTTAGCCTGAGAAATGTTTTAGTAGTTTTCTGACAAAGTAAAGTTAGGTCAGGCTGTGAAGTTTGAAGTCTTTGTTGAGCTCTTTTTCTTCTCCAGCTACACTTTTTTTTCACGTTGCTGCTGTTGAGTATTGTATACATTTCTGTACAGGGTTTTATACTCAGAAAGAGGCTTTGATTTTTTAATTTTTTTTTTTTATTTTTAGTGCCTGGTGTTTGATTGCCGCATATAAACCAAAAACTGGAGTCTCAAGATGTCATATGCAACTGGATTTTACTGGTACCGGGATCTAGTTCTGGTCCCCAGAGCATATCCAATCCTTTCTTGCCATCATTACAAACATAATACTTAATTAACAACTTCTCCAAATAAGAACTAATAAGCAGTTTTATTTGCCTTTTAGACAAGTTTCCTACTGCCTGTTTTTTAGCCCCTTAACGCTGAAACATTGTTGAAAAGTTCAATCGCCGATTCCCATCCAGACTTCCTCAAAGCAGGGAAGATTTCTCAGCTCTGTGGAGGCATTTCATGTCTGAATGGGGAGCTTCTGCTTCAAGCTGAAACCTGCACTTGTGGTGTGTGACTAAATAAGGCAGTTTCAGATTGTTTGCAGATTGCTGGCCGCGATGAAGGAGCACTGAAAACATTTGAACTGCTTTGCTTTGGCATCAATCTGTTGTGTAAAGAGGGAGCATATGGGCAGATCACGCAGGCCCCTTGGCTACTGCTGGCACCCCAGCAGATTTCTGATCAGGGATGTCTGATACCCACACTGAGAGCTGATGAGGAGCTCTCAGGATTTCCACTCCTCTCGTAGACAGCTGGGATAACAAGACATCCAGATAAAATATACGCATATGGGAATGTTGGGGGTTTTTTTTGTGGGTTTTTTTCCCCATTAACAGAAGACAAACAGTCATAAGGCTGTTGGTTTGTGAGATGGAACATATTCTAGTTTAACATTTGCAAATGTAAGAGCTGTTATCTCAAAAACAAGGACAAATTGTGGGTACTTCTTAACATGGTTTTGAGCTTAGCCTGGTAGTGCTTTCAGCAGAAGTTTCTAGCAACCTTAACAGTATGTCTTATGCACAATTTTTGGATATAGCTGCTCGAGCCAACAGAATGCAGACTGTGTGCTCTAATGTAATCCAAATTTTAATTCAATCTTACGGTAATACTTTGGTGATAATTTTAACCATGGTCTAGCAATGGCAGTCATCATTTCCTGTACCACAGAAAACATCTTAGTCTGACAAGACTTTGCTGGGTTTTTCCTTTCTGGCAGTGGTGTAGGTAAAATCTTTCTCTATTACTGGCAAAAATGGCTGGTTCCTGCTGCCAAGATTCTGCAATTGCTGTCATTACATTTCACTCATATATATTCTTTTTCTCTGGAAAGTTTTGGCCATGGATGAGCTTTATTACTTGGATAATAAGAGCACCAGATATGTACTAAAAACGGGACGTTGCCATGAGAAAGGTAGAGGTTACTGGTTTTGCAGGTCAGAGACTATTAAAATGTTAAACTAATAACATGCAAGGAAGAAGTAATTTGTTTGCATATTGCTTGTTTCAAACTGTTTGAGCAGGCAGGAGCACATGGAGCTGGCTTGTGTGAGGATGGAGCTGTGTTGAGAGCAAACTGCAGGGATTCAGTGTCCCAGGTTCCTGGTGGTCACACGCTTTGCTGGAGTCGTGGCTGGTGCAGGTCCAGCACAGTCAGCAAGGAGGCTGCTGCTCTTGTTCCCTCTGAAGAATGGCACTGATTTGGTCCCCAAGTCTTTGCACTCCAGACAGGGCTGCAATTTAAGTGGGTTGCTTTTAAATGCTTTGCTTTCCTATGGAAGTTGTGGGTTTGCTCTTGAAATTGTTACTCTTGGTGTTGTGGAGCTAAAACTCAGCAGATCCTTTAAGGTTGCTTGTTCCTTCAGAAGGACAGCACGGGGAGAGAGCTGCTGGAAACAATGGCAAGGAAAGGGCATGGAAAAGTAAAGGGGAGAGAAGCTGGTGTGTGTTGTGCTCCAGAGGGAATGGCTTGTTGAGTGAAGCCCTACAAGGGGTGGGGAGCAAGAAGGAGTAAAGAGGTTGTGTTGATTTTGAGAGAGAACAAAGATTCAGAGAGCATCTAGAGACTTAGCAAGGGTCAGAAGCAAAAGGTGTGATCTCAGAAGTCAAACTTTGGTTAAATAGTCTTATTCTGAACAAAGGAAACAAGAGTCCTGGAAGGAGAGGAACATGTAGTCCCATAAGAGCATTCTTTGGAGAAGAGGTTGTTGAATTAATCTGATGTGTTGCACAAGAAAAAGCTCTAATCTAGCTCTCTTATGTGTGCTCAAAACCAAACAAATGTAAAACAGTTTCTTTTGTGTGTTATTTATAGCTGTTAGTCCTTGCAGCACACTGCTCCTCTGTGATAACCTACATCTGCACTTTGGCTTTTCAGACTCTTAGGAATTCTGTGGAACAAGCTTTCTTCTACATCAGCTCTTAACTTTGGTTCCTGGCACGCTATCCACCTGCTGAGGCTCAGCCCACTGAAGTGCTGCACACAAAGCAGATGTCCTGGGGGGCAAGTTTACAGCCTGCAAGCGACTGGAAGCTCTTCTGAGGTTCGTTCATCTTATTAATACCTTAGTTTTAAGGTGGTCAAGAAAGTAATCTTTTTGGATTAAATAGAAAAGAATCTTTTTTATGAGTATTGTCTGAGAAAGTGGAGTGTGAGAGCAAAAGGACTCCATGGTTCTGTCTGAAAATAACAGTGAAAGAGAAGGGTGATAGGAAAGGAGAAAAAGTAGTTGGGGTATGTGTCATGTGCTCACTATCTCTGTTAGATGCCCTGTGGGTCCAGCTCTGATCATTACTGAAAGTTGTTCAGCATGCTGATGTGGATATGTCTGATCCATTGTCTTTCCCTTCCCTGAGCCTTCTTTACTGCCCATCAGTTCTGACTTCAGAGACTTTCCAGACATTGCATGGCATAGCAAAATAAGGCCATTTTAAAGTTTAGCTGAAATGGAAAAATCTTCATAACAGGGCATAAAGGCTTGCCTGTAGTTTAGCTGCCTTTTTTAATTAGCAGGTAAGTGCTGCACCACAAATTAATCCTTATTTTGCTTAGATCTTATTTAAGTTTGGAATAAAATCAAGAGTTCATTACTCCTGATTTATTGTCTAAAGTTTCAAGTTCTTACTGAATGAGTTCAGATGGAATCCAGACTTGCTCCCCACCTGGTAAAGTCATTGTGGTACTGTCCCTTCATTTGCTTAGAGAATGTTTTAGACTTCTTCTCTTGCTAGTTCCTATTTTATTTATTCATTACAAAGATCCATGCATTGGTTTGAGAATCAGCCTCACATTAGTTTTTTAGTTTCACTCAGAGCATGTGGTTGGGTTCTTCTGAGCACTCAGTTAAGTTTCCAGATGAGTCTGCTTGGTCACTGGCTGACTGATGTTGCTCTACCTGGAGTTATGAATAAGGAATGTGGACCCTGCACGTGATCTGCTCACAAATGGTTCTTGTGACTGTGATTTTTTGCAAAATTGATCAGCCTTAAAACATTTATGGTTGTTCCTGTGGTGTTCAGTGCCCAGAACCGCAGCATTTTATTCCCAGGTTGGAGTTGTAGGATTGTAGCAGGTAGGCAGATACTTTTAAACAGAAAGGACAAGGTTATCAAAAGTTTCAATCACTATGGAATGATCTCTTTTTTCCAGTGGCATTCTGATGGCCCAAGTTTGTAATGTCTTTTTGTTTAAAGAAATTTTGTCTATTTTTTCATGTGGTTTACTGGTAATTTTTTAATAGATTAATTATAATATAAACAGAAAGTGATTGTTGGGCACATGTTACATCAGGTAGGATCGAAGAAGAAAATCAAAGTCTCTGGTTTAACTTTTTAACATTCATAAAATGTTCCCTGAAACTGTATTGTGAGAAAGGATATGATCTAGTTCCAAGTTCACCATCTCTATCCCTTGCTCTATAATGTTTATGTATTTTTAAAAGGTTTCCCTGGTAGAAACATTTCCTTCAAAATAAAATCCAGTTATTTCTGCAATTGTTCACTAACTTGCTTTTAGAGATTTGGAGCCCATCTCCTTAATTCATATGGTGCAATTTGAGACCACTTAGACTGAAGTATTTTGATGATTAAAATTGCTGCATCTAGCAATCAATTGCTACTAAAGAGGCTACACACAAAGAAAAAATAATTTACTCTCAAAGAAATGATGTGAAATTTAGATCTTAGCACTTGATTAAACGAAAGATGTCCTAAGTGGATCTGGAAGGATCACAGAACCATAGGTAGGATTGAGGAAGAAGCTAAAGCAACTGAAGGAAATGAAACCCAAACACTTTAAAGGAATGAAGATATAAATCCATGTCAAAATAACAGAGCAGAACTAATGAGCAGAGTGCAAGCAAGGTAATAGACCTCTCAGAGGTAAAGAATGGCCTCCCTTTGAGGAAGAAGTTTTATCTTGCATAACCTGAACTGCTGAACACAAGCTCCCAGAATGTCTCAGGCAGCAAGAGCCACAGGCTGTGTTTCTCTCTGGAGATGAGCACAGGAATAGCGAGGGCACAGCAACACGTCTGTGACTTGTGAGGAGCAAAGCTGTGCCCGACTTCCCTTGGCTCATACTGAGACCCATTCTCCAAAGTAAAAGATTAAGGATGTGGGAAATAAACTGGTGCTGGGTTTTTGAGGGTTGCATTTTGAAAACATATCCGTGATCCCTGACCTTTTTTAGTGTTTGAGAGGCTATTGCCACATTCTTTGTCTGTGTTAACAAATCTGGTTAGAAGATAAAATGATTTGGTTTTCCTATCCTGACTGTTATTAATTTTTGGAGTACTGTGAGGATAAAGCCTAAGCTTATTACTTAATTTTAAATCAATGAAAAGAAAGTGTGATAACAATTGCATGTGTTGTCAACAATATTCTTATATCTTGCCTGTTTTAGAAAAATCTCGAGTCTGAGATAGCTGGCAAAATCCAAACAAAGGCTCCCCTGCATTTTATGAGAAACAGTCTCACTCTGATTAGGCCTGTTCTTTTCTGTTTGAGCAGACACATTTAGCTATGCCTTATGCATACTAACAGAAAAGATTTATAGTCTGGAACAAATCTAGGAGCTGACTGCTGTTTCCTGTAGTACCTGTATCCATAGTGGCAAATCTGTGTTAAATCTTGAGTGTTGTTATCCCTTGGCTCATGCTTTGCTCCTATTACTCTTTAAAGGAATTAGGTGTGTTAAAAGGATACGAAATTCTCTGACTTGCCATTTTGGAGACCACAGCTTTAAAATGCTGTGCTTTGTGGAGTGGCTTTTCTATTTTCACTAATGGTGAAGAGCTTTTGTAGCAGTATACCTGCCTGCATTTTGAAACAGCAGGAACAAATAATTGTTTGCTAGGAGAAGAAAATGTTGCCATCAAAGCATTTTCCGTCATGCACGTGTGAGGTGCAAATCCTTTGGAAGGGCAAAGCCTTAGCAATGGAGAATGTGCAGAGAATTCTCACAGCACCCCTGAACACTGCCACCATCAAACAGGAACTCCAAACTCTTTTCTCCTCAGTACTTTTGTTCAAAGCTCCCCCTCAGGGAAGCCATGGGACAAGGGGAAGAGGTAGAAAGACTTTTCTCAGTCCTTTTTCTGGCTGCCTGCTTGGGTTTTGCCTTTAATCTCTCTGTTTCTCTCTGATGCAGGTACGTTGGCAGTTCCACTGAGCAGTACTGAGAGCAGCCCTTTGTTATTTCTCTGCCTTCTGCATCTGCTTTCTCTCTGGGCCTGTCACAGGTACAAGTGTGGAATGCAGGGGGCAGGGGGTTGTCTTTTTAGCAGTCTAGTGGCAAACAGGAGGTTAAAGGCCTTTTTGTGCTTCTCAGAAGTGAAATGAAGAACCTAAATTCCTGTCTGATGCACCTCACCTGCAGAAATGTTACAGTCCTAGGTCCTGTGCATCCCTTTAAGGTGCTAATCATCAGCAATTATCTTTTTTTAATACATATTTTTTTTTGTAACAAAGTCTGTTACACTTTTAGGTTACTAAATATTACCTGCATCACCTGAGGCTTGTCTTTCGTGAAAATACAGTTTGGTTTATCAAATTCAAGCTGCAGTTTATTCCATGTTTCTTGCAAGTGATTTGTCTAGGCATGTATTGCTCTGGTCTAGTGCAGTGCTGTGTTTTATGATACCTCATGCTAATATATTACATTGCAGTCACAGTTAGTATTTAAAGCAAAAATCTCTTTTGTTGTTGCTGTTCTAAAATATGTGGGTTTGTTTCCAAAATGCTGTCATTTGAACCTTTATTGAGGTGTCTCAGGAAATTGTATTGCAGGTTATTTCATGTACATGGTCAGGAAACTCAGTAATTCACTTTATCTATTCACGTGAATCTGCTGACAGAGTTTGGGGGTGATTGACAGAAAAAAATAGATGACATTTTTGGTTTTTTGTTTTTAATTTATGAAAACCCCAAGTTTCTGTAAAAATATTTTTCTGGGATAAATGGCTGGTAATGACAGGAAGAAGGAAAAAACTCCAATCAAGATCCAGTGTGATTCAGGAGATCTGTTAGTATTCTAGATCCCTTGGAGAAATGGAAGCGTTAAATATGTTTTAACTCAAACTTGGAATTTTAATCCTTTTCCCCATACTTTTATGACATCTCTTAAGAAGCAGTAGTTTAAATCCAGTTAAATAATTGTGACATTAATTTAATCAGTAAGGAGAGACCTCACAAGATTTACCCATGGAATTGCAACTGAAGCTTTGAGAGATGTTTGTATTGTGAACCAACACAAGTTACAAATTGTGAATAAGGTGTTTTGGTATTTCATTTGAAGCAGCTACCTCAGAGATCAATATCAGTATGGCTCCAGGAATTGTGCAGTTTGTCAGGTAGGTTTTGTGGACTATACTGAGTCTCATTGTCTGGTGCTCTGCAATCCACTTATTAGCTGGTTTAGTTGGCTAAAGCAGCACCCAGCACATCTGCCAGAGCTCTGAGGTGGATTTTAAAGCAAAATGTAGCCATACCTGGAGCTAGGTCATGTCATCACCCCTTCAGGATCACAGCACTTTCTTCTCCTTTCCCTGATTTCAAGGTTACATTAATTACACAAACTGATTGAATAAAACTTTCATGGGTTAATTTTTGGAGATTTGTTGCTATTTACATTTTAGGCGTCCTTGTGTCTCCAGGGTGTTTTGTTCAGCCTGGGATATCTTCTATGTGTCTTCCCTGTTGGAGTCTGGAATACAGAGTGTGTGCCCTTGTTTCTGATACTTAGTTCTAAGATCCAGAAAAACACTGAATTCCATATGATATGAAATTCATGAGCATGTTTTCATGGTGATACATGAAAACAACTGTTAAAGTTAGATAGAAAAAGCTAAAAGTGTGAGTGTGTAGATTAAAGAGTTTTCTTAAATCACTGGGTGAAAAAGTTAATTTAGAAAGCAGAAGACAAGGTGGAAGATTTAGAATGTGGTTTCTTTTCCTTCTTCTTCATGTTCTTCCTCTAGAGGTTTTTGGGTAATAGTGAGTGATTGGACAGAAAATTCTGCAGTGCATCACAGAGGTGATGGGTCATTGGATCATTAAGAAAAATTATGTATGTGTCTATTGATAGTTGGGTAAGAATAAGTATAAAGATAAAAGAACTGCATAATTCGGGGCCATTTTGTGCTATCAAACACAAAGTGAGCCACAAGGCCTTGTTGTACCATCAGAAGAAAGAAATGTACCAGATTGCAGTGATTTAAACTTGTGCAGCCAGTCTGGAGAGACCTGCCAAGGTTTGTGATGACCTTCTAATAAACACGAGAAACAAGATTCTAATGAGCTCCGCAGTTTTCTTCAAACCTAGAGAACTGAGATAAGCAGAGCTCCCCACAAGGGAGGATCCCAAAGGAGCTCAGCTCAGAAGAGATGAACAAGCTGATCTTGGACCTCATGCATTTCATCTTTTAATCCATTTGTGCTTCACTTTGGCTGCACTTTCTTGTCACAGCCTGTGTCCTGTGGACTGGACCCCAAGCCAGACCCCTCATGCTGCACAAACCCCCAGCCCAAGCAGTGCTTTGGACAGGGCACTGCCCCTGCAGGTTTCTGTGTCTTCAAACACATCCCGTGTTCAGTGGCTGCCGTGGATCACTAGAACACATTCCCTTTGTTCCTCAGGACTGTGAGCTGCTGTGATTCAAAGTACATGTGACACAGTTATCTGGCTTGCATTTAGAAGAAAAATACAAATTTTCACTCAAAAGGCTCATACAACATTTTGGCAGGAAATGTGCGTGTCCAGTTTGAAAAACCATTCTGCTGTGGTTTGAAACCACTGTTTACTGACATCCACCTGCACAGCCTCATTCAGCCAACAGTGCTGCAGCAGAACTTGTTTTCTGAACTCAAACCACTACCACCACACAATTCTAATTTGTTTTTTTGGGTTTTTTTTCAACAATACACATTCTTTTAATGTACCCTGTTAAAAAATAAATATACTTTGTCATGGTTTCTGGAGCAAGTCAGGCACCTGAATCAGTTTTCATCTCAGACACGTCCCAGTGTGTGCTTCGGTTGCACAAAGTTTCAGAAGGGTAAATTTGGAAAAAGCAGGAAAACTTCTGCTCCAAGGTTGTTTTTGGGTTTTCTTATTCCTCTGGAGTGCCATATTTTCAAGCTATGAGGAAAATACCTTTCAGAAAAATGCTGTCTCTTGTGGGGAAGGAATAAAATAATATCAAATTATAGTAAACTAGAAAAATCAGCATCTCACGAGATATGGGATCCCACAGGAGCTTTGAAATTGTTTATTTCCAGAGAAAACTTGTCAAGGTTGAGGATACTACTGTGGAATACATGAGGTTAGAGGAAGGGATTTTGGGAAGTCAGCATTTACATTTAAATGAGTCATCCTAGAGACAGAGAGGAAATTTCAGGAGGGAATTTATTAACTTTCCTTTGTCTTTTGTGTAACAAACAACCATCCCCACAAAGCTGTGTCCTTTGTCCAGGAAGCTTTCATAAGCTTGCCTCCCTTTCTTAGTATGGAAAGGTTATCAACCCTATTAGTTCTTTATGCACTGGAATTTTATAATATCTGTGTTCTTAGTAAAGACATTTTACATATTCCTGTCCTCTTGGGAGGAGAGATACATGCTTCTAAGGAAAGAGATATGTAGTCTCTGAATTTTGGTTTCATGTGAACACCATTTTCTCAGTTCCACTCCTTGGATGGAAATAAATATCTTAACCACAAACTTCTTTCCATTAATTTCCTTAAATCTTTCTGAGAAGAACCTCAAAAAGCCACGAAGATTCAGAAAGGTAGAGAAATAGGGACTTGACAATCTTGGATAAGCTGATAAAATCAGAATAGCCTGAATCTTGAGGAAATATAGTCACATTTTAAGCCTAGAGCCATCTGTGTGCTGCACTTTCTCCTTCATATCTCCTTTTTGGAGAGCTCTGCAGCCTTTCCTCACCCACTGGTAGGAGGATGGATGTGTGTGTGTGTTTTGCACTTGGCTTGGTGGATCCTGGTGCTGCTGAGAGGGGACAGAGCTGGCTGGGAATCGCTGCTTTAGGAAAAGGTGCCGTGGCTGAGTTTGACGTGAAGATAACTAAAAACAAACACTTTTGAAAATGCAAGAATTTTGCTTCTACTCCAAAACTTACAGAATAAAATATCTGTACTACATACTTTATGCCTTGTAGGAAAGAAAGATCCTGAAAAGCAGCTTCTGCCCCTTTTTAGTGTCAGTGAGAGACTTTCTGAAGAGCAGTGCTCAAGAGCAGGAATTTCAGCACAGTGTTCTTTAGCCTATCCAGGAAAGGCCATGGATGGATCACAAGGTTTATTGTCTAACTGTTATTATTATAAATTTGGGCCAGTTCTTGTCTGTGCATCTCTGACTCTTTTGTTTTTACAGAAGTTATCTCCATATTCAGATTTATGGGGGGAGGCTGGCTGTTTTTGGGGTTCTTTTAATGCCTGCAGGTATCAGAGGTTCAGGGATCAATGTCCTTTGAACTTTTGAAAAAGAAACATGATTGCATCTTTTGAATATACTTTTGATGCAATTGTTCTGATACAGTTATTGAAGACTCAAATTTTTAATACATGCTCTTTTCTGAGGTACTTGTCTATTTTGTTCTGATTTTGTTCTATTTGGCAGCACCTGTTTTCTCTAGAATTCTTTTTTTCTGAGTCTTTGGGTCTTAAGATCATTCTTTACTTTTCTTTCCAAATATTTTTTTCTCTTCATGTGGTTTGTTCATTTATAATCCTTAATTTCTAGTGAATTCCTTTAGTGGTGTCTTGAGATTTTTCCACAGATGAAGAAGGGAAAAAAAACAGCTTTAGATGTGGGTTTCATCAGTACAAAAAAACCCCAAACAAAATAAAACAACAAAAAAGAATGTTTAGAAAAAGCACCCAGTGCAATGTGACTTTTGATGTAATAAAGACATTTGGTATCTAAATCATGCCAGGGATTTAGAAAATACTTGGCCTAACAAAAAGCAGAATCAAGATACACTGGAGTCCCAAGAGAGTGCCTGCCAGAACTTATTTTTAGTTTTTGGAAAACACTGGCATTTTGGATTAAATCCACCAGCAGCCTGCTTTCAATGTGAGTTTTACATAGCTGTTCACAATTCCAGGTGACTTTAAACCAAACCTATGCTAGTGTCTTTAGCAATATTATATTCCAGGCTATGCTTTGCTTCTGGTAAAGTTTTCTCCAGGCTCAAAGAGTTGCTGGCCACTTCTGGCCCAGTG